GTGAGGATCATGAGTGGCTCCAAAGCCTTTGGTCTTAGAAACTGGAAATCGAATAATTCCTTCAAATAACACAGGGAGGCTGCAGGTGAGTCGTTTGGAAGGAGAGAAGTAAGTTATGACTAGGAACTAGGGAGATTGCACTGCCATTCAGAACCCTTGCTGCTCTTGAAGAGGAAGTGGGTTCGATTCCCAGCAACCACGTGGTGGCTTACAAACATCCATTTCTGTGGAACCCAACAGTTACACACATTGTACATACATGTGCAGGCAGGTGAAGCATCCATATACATAAAAGTAAAAATGAATAAATCTAAAAGGTCTTTTTTTTTAAGTCATGGCTCTGATGTGCTTGAAGTGTTATTTAAAGTTCAAGGGGAAAACTGAGGAGGTGATTGGAGAGTTTAAAATGGAGTTTCAGAGAGAGTTCTGGTAAAGGTACAGACTGGAGAGACATCGGACTGTAATGCGTACTTAAAGGAGAGAAGGAAGGAGTACAAACAGAAAAGACTAAACTCTGGGTCTGGGACTGACTGGAGGGAAGGGGGTCAGAGGAGAATAAAGAGGAAGGAGGATAAAGTGTTAGACCCCCGAAAACCTCAAGTATCCGGGGTCTCAGGCCAGGTTCTCGGTCACCCCAATCACCAGGCGGATTCAAGAGCTTGCTGCAAACTGCACGAGGCTTTATTGTAATTTAACGAGCTAACCCTATGTTAGCTCGGGTCTTTCACCCACCCGCCATGGCGGGCGGCTAGAAAAGACGGCTCCGTGGGGCTCCCAAAAGATCTTATAGGGCAGCGTAAGGGGAGTGTCTAGGGGTACACACAGGCTTGCGCACAGGCTCACGATTGGTGTGCTTCCAGGCTTGGAGGGCTTGCCCTGTGTTGATTGGTCAACTGGGTGTTATGGCCCATAGGCCCGCCCAGTGTGGTTGCTATGCTCTTACGACATTGTCGTGCGCTTGTCCGTAAAGCACACCCCGGGTCGTAAAGCATAGCACCTCCAGCTAAATTCTGAGTGGTTCCTTGCCACGAGACAGGCATCTGACCTCTAAGTGACCAAGGCAGGTTTATGGCAAGCACGTGTTCGGCTGTTATGGCTGCCAAAAGGGAAGCCGGTTCCTTCAAAAGGAAGTGTACTGAGGGTCCAAAAACAGGGGCGGTGAGCAAGTGCCTGGGCTGCTGCTGAAGGCCAAATGAGAGAGCTATGGAGGTTGGTAGGAAAAAGTGCATGTACCTGATGATACAGCTTTCAAGGGGGCAAAAGGTGAGGCTTAAGAGCAATCATTCTACCTCCATTCTATTGCCGTGCTGGAACCCTAACCAAAGCAACTTGAAGGAGGAGAGAGCTTATTTCATCTCGTCCTTCCAGGCCACACTCCATCATGGAAGGAAATAAGAGCAGGAACTCAGGACAGGAACCTGAAGGCAGGAACCATGGAGGAACATGGCTTTGTTGGCTCACTCACTCGCAGGCTCCTCCTTAGCTAGTTTTCTTATATAATACAGGACCATCTGCCTAGGGACAGCTTCAAACACAGTGGTCTGGGCCCTCCTACATCAGTTAAAAATCAAGATAATTGCCTATGGGTACTCCCACAAGCCACTCTGATCTAATTTCTCAATCAAGGCGTTCATGTCAGATGACTCTGAGCTGTGTCCAATTGATAATTTAAGCTGACTAGGACAGATGGCTCAGGAGGGAAAGTGTCTGCCACATAAACATGAGGACCTGTGTTTTGCCCCCATCACACATGTAAAAAGTTGTGTGAAGCAGCATGTATCTGTAACCCCAATGCTGAGGGGGTGGAGGGGTTATGATATGGCAGAAACAGGTGGCATTCTTGAGGCTCACCAACCAGTCAGTGGAGCTAAATGGCAAGCTCTGGATTCAGTGAGAATGACCCTGTCTCAAAAGATAATGTGGATAGAGGAACACACCTGACTTCAACCTCTGGCCTACACATGCACATGCATGTACACACAGAGAAATTGGAAAGAGCCAATGTACACATTGCTTGCGACATAGGGCAGCAACTGGCATGGGAAAGACTTTTGTTTCTGTTTCTATATTTGGAGGCAGGAGCTCATGTAACTAGAACCTAAGCAGACCTCAAGTATACCTTGTAGCTAGGATGATATTGAGCTTATATGGAAATAAGAACATGTTTTTTATATGGTGATAAGAAATAGCCAGTAGCAGGACGTTGGTGGTGCATGCCTTTAATCACAGCACTCAGGAGGCAGAAGCAGGCAGATGTCTGTGAGTTCGAGATCAGCCTGGTCTACAAGAGCTAGTTCAAGGACAGTCTCCAAAGTCACAGAGAAACCCTGTCTCAAAAAACCAAAACCAAAACAAAACACAACAAGAAGAAATAGCCAGTAAAGAAGAAAAAATAGTGTAGACAAGGGAACAATTCCTGGAAGAGTCTTCCTCAACTTCAGTCTAGTGAGAGATGGGCTAAGTGGCTGACAAGGTTAGAGATCTCCCTGGGTGCACAGTAGAATCTCCAAAAGAGTCAAGGAAGGAATCTGGGGAGATGCATACTTTGACCATGTGGGTGGGGCCTGCTCTGCCTGCTTCTGAAGTTATTCCCAAGAGTGACTTATAACCATGTCACTCAGGTCAATTTATCTTCTAAGTGTGAAAGGTCTGGAGGTAAGCAGGAACCAGAGATCAAGAATAATTTCAAAACTCCAAGAGTTAAGACAAAGTTAATGTATTTTAAATTGCATTGTTTCCCCACCTAGTGGTCAGAATATGTACAGCTCATTACATTTTCTTCCTATGTTACTCAGACTCAGAAGTGAAACGAATCATAAGATTGAGGTTTTTCATTATTAATGTTTGAGTCAGTGTCTTTCGCTGTAGCACATTTCTTAGGACTGCTTTAAAATGAATTAGAATTGTAGCAGCATAACTAGCCCTTCAGATGGAAACAGAATCAGTGGTTGAGTTTTTATATACAAAACAAATCTCATGGCTATTAATAGTAATAAGACAGGAAAGTGAGGTAATGAGAAATAATAAAGACTGGGAAGTGACTAAGGTTAGAAAAGGAAAGGGCAAAGTGTTCTTCCCCTGAAGTCACTCTAGTTAGTGGACGGGATTGTTTTGAATAAGAATGTACCAGCACAATCCTGTAATAAAGTACATGTGCTTCCAATTTTCCAGAACTTGAAACTTGGCCCATCAGTAGGCCACCACCAGATAGCCTTATCTACTCCATTTGGAAATTTTTGGCTTGGGCGAGTCACGGTTTTGAAATTTCTCATAGGTTAAGTATAGAAAGACATGTTCCAGAGTGAGGGGTTCATTCCTGATATGGGCGGGTATAAAACAGTTTTATGATTCGCTTAGATCACCTCTTCCTTCCAAAAAAAGATCCAGCAGTAAAAAGCTAAAAGCTGAATTTATGAAGAGAGAATATGGCATAAAAAATAACAGTTTTGCATCTTTAAATGTTAAGATAAAGAACCCCTGGAGGTTTTGTTTGTTGGCTTGCTTGCTTGGTTGCTTTTTATCTACCTAGGAACTGAACCAGGGCCTCACACACACTAGGCAATCCACCCTGTCACTGAGCTATGGCCCCACCCCACCCTAATGGCTTTCTAAGATGACAGGCTTAGTGTTAAATGAACTTCATTTAGTTCTTTAGGCTGTGTTGTGAAAACAAAGAACTGTGGTGAAGGCCTGCTCCAATGGACTTATCACCATTGATAAGATTCCTGCCATTTTTTCCCTTCTTTGTCCCTCCCTCTTCTCAGTTGTCTCTGTTGTTGGTTGTGACTAGTTTCATTGTTCTCCTCTTTATCTGTCTGTGGGGTTTTTCTTTATGCCTTGAGAAAAACTGGGCAGTTGGTGGCAATTGGACTTGGTTTTTTCAGGACATTTACACCTATTTTTTTGTTCATTTTATTCTCCACTGTCACTGCTATTGTAGTCACTATTACATACTTATTACTTTCATATGATATAGAGCATAAACTCAGACCTATATAAAATGGCATTAAATTGAGTATATGTGTGCAGATAATGTTTTCTAAGGTAAGAAATGCTTTGCTGAACTTGAGCTTCTTAAGCAATCCTTTTTTAAAATCCATAGTAGTAGCATAAACATAAGACTAAAACCTACTCCAGTGTGTGTAGATTTTAAGTCAGAGCAAATATTAATGAGAAAACAATAACTCAATAATTTTCCTTTTTATATTTTTCATGTTTGAGACTGTACTATAATTACATCATTTACCCCTCCCACCAAACCTTCCTTGTTCTCTTTCAAATTCATGGCTTCTTTTTTCATTGATCCATGTTACATGCATATGTTCATGTACATTTTCATTTTAAAGTGAGCAAGAGTGTGTGTCTACTTTATTCTATCATTTTTTCTTGTTTTCAGAAATACTATAAATGAAGAAAATCAAGATGGCATCATGCACTCTGATGGTAAGGGGTAACTTTTAAAAAAAAATCTGAGCTACATGTTTGAATTAGTTAAATGTCATGGCACCATTAATGGCATTACCACCATTGGCCTACATAGGATCCCTTGTTTTACTTATTTCCTAGAATTCTTATGATTCATTACCTTCTCTCTCTCTCACTATAAACAAAATCCTAAAATACTTAATATATATTTGTACATACTCTTCTCATATATATGTTTGTATGTATGTGTATGTGTAATTTATATAAAAAGTATGTTATAGGATTTTCATTTTGAGAACACTTAACACTCGTTTCTGGGTACAAATTTAGTGTGCTGTCAATAAGTACTGAAGGGGACCCCTGCACAGTGGGGGCTTCCTTCCAGACCCTGGATTAGGCACAAACCACACCGAAACACCTGTTTTCACAGAGAGATCATTTATTAAGTGGGGAAGAAAAGCTAAAGCAGCTGCTTTCTGATTCAGGCAGAAAAACACCATCAAATGACCTTGCAGGTGCCATTTTTAAGAGAAGAAGGGGAGGTCTGTGTTAGAATGGGCTAGGGTGTAGTGGTAAAGGCGATGGGGGATGAGGAGGAAGGGGAAGGAGTCATGGGAAAGGAGGGACAAAGGACTGACTCTTGATAGACAGGAGACAGATGTGACACATAGGAAAATGGAAGTTTATAAAGGTTAAGGGGAAAATCTTGAGTTAAGATGAGGTGTTTCATTTTACTTGGGCATATTAATTGGTGAACCAAAGGGGATTTCTGCTTGCTGGACTTTGGTAGCTTCCGGAGGAGGAAGTGGCCAAATAAGAAAATAGATTTGGTGGCTAGCTTTAGAAATATAATCTAACAGTTTTTAACAAGGCAGAGGGAATGGGGAGGAGGGCAAGGCCTGCCAGAGCCTTGCTCACTACACTCAAGCTAGCCAGAGTCCCTTCAAGAACTACACATTACTCTATGGAATGCACCACATTTTGTTGAGCCCTTACTCACTGGAACTATAAGAAACACTGCAGAGCTCCTCCGTATGTTCATCCAATATGGCCCTCAGAGAAGCTTTTTCTAAGAGAAATGATGGTGGAATGGCTGGTGATGAGCTACAAGATATTCACTTTGCTGAGTAGGACTAGAATGTTATTCAGAATTGATGCCCTGTCTACACTCTCAACACTAGGACATAAATGTGGCAACATGCCCATCTTTTACCATCAGCTAGCATCATTAATCTTTCTAATCTTTTCCTAATTGCAGGGCATAACATTAGATCTTGTTTTCATTCTACACTCTTTATTTGTATTGAACTTATTCTGTGATATTGCCACTTTGATCACACTCAGCCTCCCGTCCTTTCTGACGCTACTCTCACCCTCATCAACACCACTTCCCCAGCGTGAGTCCCCCTTCCATTTCATGTTTCTTGTTTTGTTTTGTAACCCACTGAATTCAGCAAGCACCATCTATGTGAGTATGATCACGTCTTCATCACTGAAGATGATGCCTCTCTTCCCCCAGCTAATCCATATTGGTTTTCATTTCATAGTTCCCTTTTCCACTCTTGAGTTTGAGAGCTTACTTTAGTTAGGAGATATTGTGACCTTTTCTCCTGTCAGATGTCTCCTTTCTGTTGACCATTCTGTTCCCATGGGGATGTGTCTTTTCCTGGTTGACTTGTAGGTGTTCCTCTATATCCCAGATATTAATCCATGTCAGCCTTCTTCCGTTCTCTCTATCGTCTATCTGTCCTTCCTCCAGCACAAATACATTTTGGTAGTATCAAATTCATTAAGTTTTGCCTTAGAAATTATTCTTTTTAACTTTTTAAAGAAATGTTAGTTCCTAGGAAATAAAATAGCTCCTTATTTTTTTTTCTACAAACTTCATCCCTTGTGTTTTGGTCTTTGAGCACTTAGTAGAAAACTAGAAAATCTACCTCATATATAGCACCAGTGTTCTCCCTTCCAAACTCAAAATAACCCATTCTCTTCCTATTATTTTATAGTGAACCTCTATAGTATGTCAGCTATATATGAATTTGGATATATATGTTCATATATTATATGACCATATGTAAATGTTTCTTAGTCCCTGTTTTAGTTAGGATTACTATTGCCATGATGAAATACCATGACCAAAAAAGCTTGGGGAGGAAAGAGTTTATTCAATTTATCACAGTTCATCTTCAAAGGAAGGCAAGACAGGAACTCAAGTAAGGCAGGAACCCAGAGGCAGGGGCTGATGCAGAGGCCATAGGGGAATGCTGTTTACTGGCTTGCTGATCACAGCTTGCTCAGCTTGCTTTCTTATAGAACCTATGACCATCAGTCCAGTTATGGCACTACCTACAATGGACTGGTTCCTCTCCCATCAATCACCAAATAAGAAAATACCCTACAGGCTTGCCTACAGTCTGATCTTATGGAGGCATTTTTGTTGTTGCTTGTTTTTTTCAAGATAGGGTTTCTCTGTGAAACAGTCCTGGTCACTCTGTAGACCAGGGTGGCCTCAAACTCACAGAGATCCACTTGCCTCTATCTCATGAGCGCTGAGATTAAAGGTGTGTACCACCACCATACAGTAGAAACATTTTCCTAATTGATGTTCCTTCCTCTCAAATGACTCTAGCTTGTATCAAGTTGACATAAACCAATTCAGCACAGTCCCTGGGCTCTCTTTACAATTCTCTTGTCCTATCTGTGTTTTATTATTATACTTGTGCTTAGTATTATCTTATTAATTATAATATTTGATAATGTCTTGATATCTGGTAGAGTGTATATTACACTAAACTCTACTGGTCCTTTTAATTTAATCACCTTGATTTGTTTGATACATGAAAGCAAATCCTTGAGAAAGAATGAGTCAAAAAAGTGTGGACTATTTGTGATTTTTTTTCCCTGTTGTATATTTCACACAAGTATATGCATCAAATATGTGATGAGTTACATAAAGCAATACAAGAAAACATAATTGTCTTTGATTTTTGCATTATCTTCTGAAAATTAATAAAATAATTTATAATTAAATTACAAGTGTTAAAAATACCAATTATCGGCCGGGCGTTGGTGGCGCACGCCTTTAATCCCAGCACTCAGGAGGCAGAGGCAGGTGGATCTCTGTGAGTACGAGATCGGCCAGGTCTACAAGAGCTAGTTCCAGGCCAGCCTCCAAAGCCACAGAGAAACCCTGTCTTGAAAAAACCAAAAAAAAAATACCAATTATCCTCCTCTCATTCTCCCAGCTCCCTCCCTCCTACCCCCACACTCTCAATTAGTTCAGGAGATCCTGTCCCCTTCCCCTTCTCCAGAGTCCATGTATTCTTCTCTTAGAGTCCTCCTTGTTTCCTAGTTCCTTTGGTGATGTGGATTATGGGGGAGGAGGGGAAGGAGAAGGAGAAGGGATTGACATGTGAAGCAGGCTTGTTTCTAATTTGAACTAATAAAAAAATAATTTCTTGGGAAAAATGACAATTATCTAAGCTTTGTGCTTTAAAGCATAAGTTATGTTATACTTTGAACTGATGTATTATTTTATCCAATGATCATTTGTTGAAGTACTTCGTAATTACAGTGTATTTTTTTTAATCCTGTAGGTCCTGGAATTCTAGAAGAGGTCAGATATTTTTATTTCTCTTTTTCTATTGCTAAAATTGGAACATTTAACAATTATTATGACTCACTTTCTATTGTTATAAACAGACAAATAAAAAGTTTTACAATGGTATTTTCCCCATTGCTAACCTTTCTTAATTGAAATGCTTGAAACATTATATGCCAGTCAGTGTGCTGACTCATGGTAGTGAAGTGCTGAACTTATGCCTGGCTGCACAGCTAATGACTGAACAAGACAGAAAATGAAATCTCCTTTGCTTGTTCCTGTATATCTCACAATTTCAAAACATGAGAGTATGAGAAAGAGAGATGAAAAAGAAGAAAGAAAGAAAGAAAGAAAGAAAGAAAGAAAGAAAGAA